TAAAAGGTATAAGTATTATTTCCTAATACGTTATTAAATTCTTCATTTAAAAGAAATTAAAATACATATATTAATCTCATGTGGTTAAAATTTTATTATTTGGTCATATATAATAATGATAAAACTAAATGAATAATTTTTACTCAATTTCTTTCAAACGTCATTTAAGGATTTTTGCACGAACTCACATTAAAGTATTATTTCTTAACCATAAATACAAAACAAGTTCGTTTAATTGAATAAATACGTGAGTATATAATTTAAGAAACCATTCCAAACAACTTCAAGATAATCAATATATAATGAACATACAAATACGTCAACATTAATATAATCCTTCAAACAAATCCGCAGATTGACAAGTGACTTTGCAATAATTTTCCCCCTTCTTTGCCAAACATAATTTGGCAACCAACAAAAGGAAACTATTTGCAACAATAACAAACTTCGTAAAGCATGTAATTTCCAACATACAAAGTAACAAATCCAGCATAAAAATCGCATATTAATTTTGTCAATCACCACATGAACAACATTCACTCATACACACATAAACTCAACTTCACCATTCCGGCGAGCTTATCTGAATCAATGTGTATGTGTATTGCCCAATATTACCATCAGAGTATATGAAATGGAAGGTATCATCGTGACGTGTGCAAATGTAGAATTCTTCCCCTTATATCAATTGAATTTTTAAACCAGTTTTCCCTAAAAGTGCAAGAGAGAGCGAACACACACAATATGACAGCAGGACGAAAAAAACCCGCAAGCGACATGGTGTGTAAGCCACTTTTCAGCATCATTGCTTAAATTGGCTTAAAGCGAAAATGACGACGACAGAGTACAAAAAATAAATAAAATAAGTAACAAAACAAAAACAAAATAAATAAATAAATAAAAGAAAGAATTAAGTTTATATCAACAGTGGCAGAGGAGGAGTACGTGTAGTCTTTGTGAACTGATAACTACGTGTTTGTGTGCTTGTTTGTGTATGTGATTATGAACGAGAGAAAAAAAAATCCGTCACATCAGCACAAAACCATTAATCACATACGCCCGAGTAGTAGCGGGCATATGAGAAGTAAGTATAAAGTCCAATTGCATGAAGTCCAACTACTCCCAACGTTCATACTTTCGGTATAGCGTTAAGCTTTCGTTTGTGGACTGCCAATAACTTGTGTTGGAGCACTGCTCTCCTTCTCCGACTTTTGGTTTTACAGCGTCAGTTTTGTGTCAGCAGCACTTCAGGCGTTGTTTTGTCTTCGAATTGCATATGCGACGTTCATATTTGCATTTTTCACAATTTATGGCATTCACGTGACTTGCAGCATTTCCGGCTTTATTCTATTTTTTTTTTTTAGTTCAGTTTATCGCTTTGTCGTATGCAGCCATAATAAAAGCTACTCTATAGTGGCTTAAATAACAAATTCTATCAAAAATAACAAATGTAACACTGGCAGAGTTGAACGATTTTGAGAATGCATTAGCTGCATTTTGTCTGTCAAATGCAATGCTTGACGAAAGAAATTTTCACATTATTATTTATCCTGTGGGAGAATTCAATTTCAACTTACGCTTTCAATTATTCAAATTTTTTTATATTTACTATGCAGAATTAAGTAAAATCAAAATCAAATAAAAATTCGATTAAATATAAATCAAATCAAGCACAAATATATTGCGTTTGTCAAATAAAATGTCATCCTCTTCTACCTTTGTCATTTCGTTGACAGTGACAGTTGTACACTGCATGTATTATATCGTCCATATACAAACCTACACTCAGACACATTTATATGTACATATATGCAAACATATACACACGTGTGTGTAGCATTACCACGAATAGACCAATTTGTTGATTTGTTTGTTTATTTGGTTAGTTTTATTATTTTTTTACTGGATTAGTGTTGTAAATTGACTTCCATGTTGCGGTTCCCAATCATGAATATGTTACATTGATATGTTATTTATTGCCAACGCTCACTCATTTACAATAGAAGGAAAATTGGATTACTTCAGTGATTTTCGCGCTTAAATGATTCTAAAAATATTTCATTTATTTTATAAAATTCGTTTTCAAATAAAACTTACTTAAAATACGTTTAAGCATTTTTATATTAGTTACAGAATATAAAAATAAAAATTTATATAAATTTGAGAGTCAAAAAAATATGTGTGAAATATTTTCATTAAGAGTTTAAATAAGATAACTAAAACAGATAAAAATGTGTTTTAGTGTAGTAGTTTGCAAATTTAAATAAGTCACACTAAATAATTTATTTGAATATTTTTTTTTCGCGGGCATTAACATTAACTTTTTGTTATTTTAGTAAATTTTGAAAGCAATTAAAATATTTATTTTGATTTTTAATTTATATATATAAATTAATTAAATAAATATATTTTTATTTATTTAAACTGTCTACTAATATTGAGTAATAGTCAGAGTTGACCCATTAAGAATATTAAAGAGATTCTACGAAAACGAAAAACTTAAAATAAGTATTTTATTAATTTTAATATTATGTAAAAATAAAAAACGAAATAATTTCCACCCAAAAGTAAATCATTTGGTGATAACAAAATATTATATTAATTCTTAAACAAGTAAAATGGCTTTAAATTAATTTTCACACTTTGCCCGTACTAAAAAAAATAGTAATGATTTGAAATAGTATATAATACAGAATACTAATCTATTCTTAAACTCAGTGTCAAAAACTTATTAGTACAAATATGTGTTTTCTTTTGATTTTGGGTTTCGTTATTTATTTTCTTATTATTGAATAGACTCGAATAATATAAAATTCTCTTAATTGCGAATGGAGAAGATTTTCACAGCAATATGGAAACTTGCTGTGGTTTATCTAATCCAAAAAGCATAGGCATGGAGTATGTAGATTTGGATTATATGATCATTCTATATATAGTGTTTCTTTGAAACTAATTATGCTGGACATTAGATTATACTTCTATAAAATCACCGAACAACTAGTATAGGCATGGAGTATGTATATTTGGATTATATGATCATTCTATATATAGTGTTTCTTTGAAACTAATTATGCTGAACATTAGATTATACTTCTATAAAATCACCGAACAACTAATTATCATATTTCAGTGTAACTCCTGTAACAGTTTCATGAAGCAAAGTAGAATGATTTTTAAAGTAGTCAATTTTATTTTTACACTAGAATCGTTAAAAAAAATTAATATTAATAGTTTGCTTTTCAGAAGCTACGAAAGCTTTAACATAGAGAAGATTTGAAATATATATAAAGATTATTCGTGGGAAGAAAACATCTTAAAAATTTTCCATTGTGTGTTATATTAAAATTGCATAAACTTTTAAGGACATTATCTCTGTTCAGTATTCAGTAACATATAATATACGAGCTCACTTCACTGAAATATTCAACTAAATGTTCTTACCGTCCAAGAATTTGAAATTTAAGAACACCTCAAGTAAAGCACAATTACTTCCATTTAATTTTACTGAGAAAAAAAGCTAAATCTCAGACGCACATGTACGCATACTCTTATCGTCAGACACAATGGAATACCTTGAACCCGGTTTCCGCAGTTTGACACTTGTCGCTTGCGTTGTTGTGTGCTCCTTCTCCTTTATGAATTGTCCAAACTTCAATCCTGATTGATGATATGTCAACTTCGCTTCAATTGCTTGGCAAGTGATATCACTTCTTTCAGTACGATGCGTTTTATTCGTTTTCTGTTTTCCGTTTCCGTTTTAGTGTCCTTTGTGAGGTTTATTGTTAAATTTTTTTCCTTCAGGAGAAGTCATGCATTGTCAAAATTACTTTGCGCAATGACTTTTGTGACACACGTGAGAATTTGCTGCGTTCGCCGGTGCGGCCGATGTAACCTTCCGTGTGACTCGAAAGTGAAAGAATACAAAAATATTAAAACTTTGTTGAAACTTTTACATGCGCACGGATTTGGTAGACTCGGTTCTCGTTAGTTTCCTTACAGCTTGTTTGATATATGAGGTTATGCTACATATACTCCCGCTATTGTGGCGAAAGTTCCGTTACGTGTATTTATGCGTTAAACGGAAATGAATTTACGCACTTCCGCTAAATTTAGCAAACTAATGTTTTGTGGTTTTATGAGATTTTCCGTGCAAACTTTAGGTTTATATTTTTTTGGCTTTATATATTACTTTTTTTTTGGAATTTTATATACGTATGAACAGAATTCATATAAATTTAGTGAGTTATTTTATTTTTGCCACTGTGGACATTACATGCAAACCAAATACTTTGCGTAGTGAGGGAAAAATAAAAAATTTGTTTTTGTACATGGAAATCAGAGTAACATCAGTAACTTCAGTCCATAGGTAAATATTTAATCACAGGACCAATAAAGAAGTTTTATTGGATACAATTTAATTTCTTTTACTTGAAACTTTTGCCAAATATATGACAACGATTTTCTTTAAGTGCCACCTGTGATATTATTTTTATATTTCTCAGAAATATCACTTCTGTGTTGTGATATTTATTCCGTGCTTGTATTTAGTTCATGTGCTTGTTTTATGAAGATTAAATAAGCCTAAAAAACAATTATGTTTTAAGTACTGAACTCTAATATCCTTTACGCAATTTTGTGCAGTTTTAATTACCATATAAAGTTTTGAATAGGAACCACTAAAAATGCACATACAATACACCCACATGGATACATTTATTTTTACATGTCCTTTCAAATTTTCATGTTTATGCTTGCAATACTAAAACACCAATTTGACCTAATTTAACTGCGGCAATATGCAATTCTCTTCCTATAATTTTATTTTTATTTGCTTGGAATTGTTTTTGGATGCAGCACAGTTGATTTCTGTGCAACTGCTGCAACGACTGCAACAACAAGAGTAGCAACAAAAAATGTGTTGCTAGCATATTACAATATTACAATACATAACAACGACAACTGGTATAATATCAGGCTAATCCGGTATCTGCCGTATCTAACTTCTCACTCTACTATTAAACCACAAATTTAATATCTTCCATACTAACCATGCACTTTTGTTTTTTCCTTTGTTTTCTCGTTTTCGGTTTGTTATCCTAGCAACGGGCATTGTTGGTCAGAAACTGAAGGGTAATCAGGAGGATCCGTGCAAAGTGAAAGGACGTGTTGTGGGTGATGAAGTCTATTGTGACCGTTACTGGGAGTGTGTTAGTAGTCAACCGGAATTGTATGATTGCCCGAATGGTCTTGTCTTTGCCGGTAAACATCGTGGTGTAACGGAAGGTTGTGATTATCCTTGGCGAGCAAACTATTGCGATGGCAAACAATTAGCGAGTGAGTATAATAACCATTTTAATTTTTATTATTTATTTGCTTGTGTAAAAAATGGATTACAAAATGTTTATAATTACGTTTTTTATAAAAGTATTTTAAATAACATTGAGAAGAAAAAGGACTAATCATTTTGATTGGAAAAATGTAATACATTTTGAATTATCTTTACAATTCAAATATGTTAAATCAGTGTTCATTATAGATTGGATTGTTTTAAATACAATATTGCACAATATAATTACTTTAGCATCTTTCTAATAAAAAAAAAAAATTCGATTTCAAAGCCGGATTAAAAATGATTTGAAGACTACAAAGAACGAAACAATTGTTTTGAGCTCTTAATAATAATTTTGTTATATGTAAGAATATAACTTAATAGCACTACAAAGATTTCCATACCAATATATATTGCTTTTTATTTAATTTTTATATTTTATATTTATTTTTTATGGTAAATTCGATTAAAATATGGTTATATCAGGATTTTTATTTTTTTGTAATTAATTTATATGTATCTATAGTTATTTACCAATTAATTTACAATTAAAGTGATTATTTTAATTAATAATAATAATTAACTAATATTTAACAATTAATTTACAACTAAAGTAATTATTTTAAATAATAATAGTTAATTAGTAATTAATTAGTAATAATATATAATTTGTAATAATTAATTAATAATTAGTTTACAATTAAAGAAATTATTTTACTTACCACCGTCTTACCAGCCATTATGAATAGAATATAATATGAATAGAATAGATACACTTTAAAGAAATGTATGTTATCGAATGCTACCGATAATACAGATTTGAAGACAGTAGACGTATTAAGAAGTACTCGGCAACTTGGTAAAGTGATAAAGTGATTTTTTTTATTTGTTGTATTTGTTGAAATTACCTAGGCTAATCCTTATTATTCTGAGCTGTTGCACCAAGCTTAAATTTAATTTAAAATTTCAAGTGTTGGAAAAAATAATAATAAATAAAAATATATTGATAGATATAAATAATTTAATAAAAGAACTAGGTTTATTAAACTTTAGTTTTATATCTTTTATTTTTATTTTTATAATATGCTTTATTTATTTTTATTTAGCTTTATTTAGTTTTATTTTACAACTAACTTTAATAAGAAAGAATTACAAAGGGGCGTGAAGGTGTTTGCCAGTTTAGCATTTCATTGAATGCTGAAGTATCAATTTATCGAAAAACGTCTTAATAACTTTAGGTTTTTATTATGATTCCATTGGTGCTTTAATTATTTTAAAGAATGTTCGCAGTTCTCATATTTGGTCCTGATCAGTAACCAAAAATTTATTATTATTATAAAACTTATTTGGAACTGAAAATGTACTTTTGTTGAAATTGTTCATAAGGTTCGTGATCGAAATTTTTAATTATTGACAAATTTCTATTTACTTAATCAACCGTATTAGGTAGAGACATATTTAGTTCTTAGCCGCGTCCAATAGCCTCTACCAGTGAGCTAAAGCATGTTTTTGCTATCACCAGTACTACGAAAGTGTTTAAATTACTTGTCACTTAATACTTCAGCCGAAATGTAGGTGTCCTCAACTGTGTTTTTAATTACCGGGTCTAAATTGAATACCTTGCTAGGTATACTAAGCGACTTTATACGTTTAACTGTCATAGTCTGAAAATAGGGCATACAGCCCGTTATACTAACTAAGTGAACACTTGTTACGAACGCGTCCATGACCATATATCTTTTGAAGAACATTCTACTTTAACGCTCCTGATATCTTCTTAGAACTGTTAGTTGTAGTTAAAGTTTCTGTATCATACAGCAGGACAAGCATGATAAGAAAATTGTCGATGGTTGATAAAAAACTTTATTTTTCCATTGTCTACTTAGTCCAAGGTAGCATATAACGGTAAGTGTGACTCTTCATCGAATCTGCGGGCTAAAGTTATTTTTATTGCTTTTTTTATTTTCGAACTTAATTTACAATATTTGTTTTATTTTTTTTTTAATAGTTAATGTGGCTTAATACATATATAACAAACAAAATGTTAAAAATATTTTATGTATATAGCTACTATATTTAATCGTATTATTATAATTAAACAATTTTATTAAAGAGCTTTGATTGGTTGAACTTTTTTGGTAGTTAAAATTTTTATTATATTTAAAAAAGTGCAACCATTTGCTTGAATAGTATCAATAAAAAACTGGCGTTATATTTTTACATATATCAATTGTTGATAAAAAGTCCAAGTACGAAAAAATAACCTCAAAAGACACTTACCAGCCCGCATTTTTAATTTAATGCAACGTTGGCATTCGGGTTAACACATAATCACATGATGCCGCTTTTGTAGGAATCATGTGTGGACTCGATGCCACACTGAATTGCTGTAAATTGGCCCACAACAAAACGATTCACTTACCAATATTGTAACAGAAAATGGTCGCAATGCAAAAATCCTATTAGTAGCAATTTATGGCCAACAAACGACAACATTTCAATTTGATTTCCACAATTTCCCTAAATTTCCTTTCGGTGTTTTGCAATTCGAATTTAATTTTTTTGCTTGTTTTGTAATTTTGTGTGTACCTTTTTGCTTTCAACAGATGGTCCCATTTCCACAGAACATTGTGACTGGTTGTATGGCATCTTCGGACATGAGACATCCTGCACACGTTACTGGACTTGCTGGAATGGCACTGCGACAGAACAGCTCTGCATCGGAGGCCTGCTTTACAATGAGAATGCCCACAGCTGTGATTGGCCTGAAAATGTTGATGGTTGTCAGAAGCATCGTAAGTAAGAAATATTAATAGGAATACCTGTTGTAGTGGTCCAAATAAGTTTGCCACAGTCAGTAAGTACACATATGGGAGTTGGTGTGTTTGTGCTAGATTGGTTGTGTTTGTTACTATTCAACGATATCAATTTTAATTGCAATTGCAATTGCGTTTAGACTTACAACGCAATGAGTACTTAATACTGGATACATAGTGCATAGCACAGTCACTCTCCTACACACACTTCCGGCATGCTTACATACCTACATATAATAACAGACCAGCAACAACTTGTTTGCGTAGCGCAGCTTGCTGCTAATTACCAAATATTGTGTGCTGTGTACATTTCGATTACACATTTTACTTTGATGACTTGTTTCACTTTACCCTGGAAACTGTTTTACAGCACTTTGCAACGACGATGCCAACGGTAATGTTCCACTGGGTAAATCGTGCAATCGTTATTGGCAATGCCAGGGCGGCTATCCACGTTTGCAGCGCTGTCCAGCTATGTTGGTTTTCGATCGGCATTCATTGAGATGTGTTGTGCCACCAACTGAAGAATGCGATATCCCATCAACACCAGCGCCTATTGATGGCGAGGCAGAGACTAACAATGTCGGTGCTGGTCAATCTGCAAAAGATGAGCAGGAACGAAAGGTAAGTTGCTTTTAATTTATGGGCCCGCAGTGGTCGGTTCAAGATATTTTGTTTATTTTAACGTTTGCAGTTCAGTGTATGTTTGCACATTGGTAGAAAATCGGTTGGAATTGAATTAAATTTCTCATTACAAAAGACGTATTACCTTACAGATATGTTTCTAAGAGAATTGATTAATTGCACTGCATTTTCAACATTCTGATGTTACGCTGTGAGATTTCAAGTGTTAAACTGTTAGGCAATTGTGTTTTAATTCTGGATAGTTAGAAACCTTAAAGTTTAAAGTTTTCGACAATTTCTAAAATCAATTAATTAACGTCTAAAAATATAGGAAATTTTTATATTACTCAAATCTGGTCAAGACTTATTATTTATCTGGATTTAAGACGTCCAAGAAAGTGTTACCTAAACTAACACTGAAAACTATAAATAGGCTTCAAGCAATAATATTGTTTCTACAGAAAAAGTTGTATTCCTTATCCTTCTGACTATTAAAGAATAGAGAAACCATTTATAATATAAATTAAGTGATAGACAGAGGCGAAGTTGGTTCATATTCACTGCACATCTTTTCAAACCTTTCCTTTTAGATACTCTACTTAATATGTTTTTATTCGGATTTTACTTGAAGAGATTAAAGTTATATTTAAAAAATTTATTGGGACAATAAACTTTTATTTTAATTTAACTAGTTTTATTATTCCTAGTTAAGAAAAATTTATTAATTTTGATTGCTAATTGTAAATACAGTCATAAAGGTAATGATTACCTTTTGTTAGTATTATGTCTACAACGACTATGGGCACCTGAAATTATGGACTTATACATAATGGTCTTAACGATCGGAGAAATGACCCTTTGTAATAAATTCTGGCGGTACGCGTTGTGATCATCTTTTAAATATGATTTCAATACGCTTTGGGAGAATAGCGACTCCGTTCCCAAATGTTCAGGACAACAAAATATTATGCTCTCCTGGATAGCGTGGTACTAAATAAACATCACCGGGAGAGTGATACTCATTTCTACCAGTTGTATTCCAGTTCTTACGAAGGCTCGCTTTACCTCCGTAATGCACCAATGCGTATTCTGATAGAAAACTCCGCTTACGACTGACGGCCAAAGTTATTTAAAGTGATTATTTAGCGCTAATGTTTAACACTACAGTGTTCTTAAGAACACTCGTTTCAAAATAATGTGATGACAATCTTCTTACCGGAACTCCATGAAATTCAGCCGATACCAGTTGAGGTTATTGTTTAAACAAATTCTTGCTTGGTAAAGAACGTGGCCAAGCATCTAACACATATTCTGTTCTTTGTATCACAGCACACGGTTCAAAAGTGAATAAATACAGGTATCTTTTCTGTATATATTTAGGGTTTAACAGTAGTGCAGTTTCTTATCTGTGTATGTTTAGGGTTTAGCAGCCAACATCTACTGATCAGGACAGCTTGGTACTTGATACAAGGTGGTACTGGATTTACACCAACGGACGGGTGTCGTAAACGAAACTCACTTACTGCTAGTGACACACAAAGCAGTACCGGGAAGGTACTGAGCCAATAAAATTCTTGTTAGAATGATCGAATATAAGTAAAATTAGCATGAGGGAAATAATATGAATTTATTATTTCTTTTGACAGATTTATTGTGCAAAATATCAAAAACTCAAATATTTATACAAAAGAAAAAAACATGAGCTTTATTTAAATACGTAAACTTCTTACCAGAAAAAACGATTTTAAAATAGTCCATACAGTCAAAGGTAGTAGCGTATTATTTGAATTGATATGATTTCAATTGATTATCCAGTTTGCACTTTGTAAAAAATGTCTTTAGATTTAAAAAAAGTGGAAGAAAAGAGAAAGAAAATCAATTGAACGGATTTTGTCTGCTTAGTTGTCAGAATCATTGGCGTCCATTTGTTTTAACGGCAATATACCATCTGTACCGCTATTGTAATTCTCTATGATAGGATTCAGTTGCCGACATGATTAAATGTCGATTAATGTTGTCTCCAGATAAACTGCAGCGAAAATAACTTAATCAACGACAATTGTTGCTGCTCACTCCGTATGACGCGTGCAGATACTGTCTGCAGCACTTGATTACCAGTTCTCAAGATTAAATCATCAATAATAGCAAGTTCGACACCAGACTAAGCAGCAATGAAATTATCGATAAGAACGCAGTGTGGAACGAAAATGCTGCAATGTAGCAGCAGAAAATGCGGCTTGTTGCCGACTTGCTGTTGCTGATGGAGACATTCATAAATAATTTCACTGAATTACAAACATTTCTGCTTTGACTTTGTGGTAACGATTGGCGACGACAACCACCAACTGTGCATTTACTGTAAGCAATACAAAAGCGAGCGTCTATAAATAATCCGAACCTGCAAGTGCAAAAAATGCTGGAATTTTGAAATAAAATTTTAAATTATTTTTTATTTATTCATCAATTTAATAACTCAAATATTATAAAAAAATCATCACGACGACAAAAATATACTCTTTCGTTTAATCGAATTCTTTTTAAACAAAAGCTGCAGGCTTCGTCTAATGAATTCGAATCAAGTATTTTCAATACCTGAGGCTTTAGTTGCCATGAGATCCTTTGAAAAATTGCGAATAAAATCGGTTAACACCTCCATTACTTTTAGCTGACGTGTAGCTTTAGCCTTAGTAACTTTAGATTTGTTGCATATTGAAACACGGATGGGTTGACTGCAGCATGTTGGGATGAATTGGAAAAAACTCCTTTATTCCTTTTCATATTTACAATATTTCATATTGAATAAATTGAATGCCTTTGGCTGTTGTAGGTAAGAGACCGTTAAAGGAAAATTTTTTCCTGCTAATACAATTGAATGGAATTGCAAAGCTAAGGTTGCAGTTCCTATTCATGTTTTGCTTCGACTTACACTTCTATTTTTTTATTCATTTTTCTATTTTCCGTAAGGGGTTTTTATTGCAATGACAAAATTGCAACAAAACTGTTAACATTTCTTGCCTGCAATTCTGCTTCCTTCGATAGACTTTGTAAATGACAGCGCTTCGCAATATAAAAAACGTGCTGGAAACGCTTTACAGGTAAATGAAAACGAAGGAAATGGTGACAACAGCGATACTGAGCGGAAAAATTTCTCAAAGGAGAAAATTTTCAATTTCCGTTTTGAAGCAATATCAGCGATATTTGATATTTGTGAAAGAAAACAAGAATATTACTTTTGCGCAAAGGGAAGGACTTTCAGCAATATTGAAGAGGAATTCATAAAATATACTACAAAGCCAAAATATTTAAATACAATTTTATACTTACGGAAATTCTATTATATATTTCTGTATTGAAGCGCCTGTATTCGCGTCAGATATCAAAGGAGATACAGTTTAATATAATCACTTGAGCGTTAAGGGTTAACACTTTTGATTGCATACTAACCGTATGTAAATATCCTCTAAGAATGTAAAACTACACTTATTTATATTGAAATGCATTTAAATTCAGGAATATAGTTATTTGGAGACGCAAAAATGGATAAGCTGGGTAGTGAAAAATTAAATGAGTGGAACTATTTTCTTCCTTCCTTGATTGTTATTCTTAATTAATTTTATCCATTTGTTGATTTAGGTCTGCAAAAAGTATATATCTGTATTAAAAATATTTTAAAACAATTTGGTTTTACCACAAGGAGGCGTTTTAGAATCAACTTACTTATAAGAGAGTTTTATTTTGATAATTTATTGAAATAATAAAATATATACATACTTGAAACACATTTGTTCAAATATAACAATCTAACTTCAAAATATTGATGCCCTGTCATCATTGTTTTTCTTAATGGAAATTATTAAATTATGTGTAATTTCTCTGTTTAATATATAAAAATCTCAAAATCTCAAATATTAACAAAGTTAAACTTTCAAAAATGTTTATAATATTTTTATATTAATAAAGTTTGTATAAACTTTTCAATTTGTAATTTATTCAAGAAACAAAAAATGTTCATCAAACGTTCTCATCATTTCGAGTAGTTTTTATAAAACATTCTGCATGTAATAGAAAAATGCAGTAGAAAAGTGCATAATAAAAAGTTTTAAAACATTGTCTGTAAATAGTATCTATATACATGTATATAAGGAATAATTAAATTAAAAACTTGTTAACAAGATTTTATTTACCTTATTCATTACTCGAGCAGCTTCATATTACAAAAAAGGAAAGTATTTCCCAATGTTATACTACAGATTAATATAAATATTTGTTAAGCTTTAGTAACTTATGATACTCCAAAAAAGCAGCATTCAATGTATTCTAATTAAATTAAATTAAATCTAATTAAATTTTTCTACTTGTTTCAATTTTAATACTATATTTTAAAAGTTTTTATTAAATAAGGATAAAATTAGGTATAATCGCAAATCCACACATTTAATCCCAGTTGTCCCAGTTATATTTTCTGCAATATCTGCATATCCTTATGTAGGGTTTTATGTCCATTTTTAGTGCGAATTGAATATTAGCACTGGACTTAAGAATAAGACATATTTTATCTTCAATTTTACTTGTGCATATTTCTGCAGTCTTATCGATAAGGTCATTGCTTCACTAGGTAACATTTGTGCCTTGATAACGCTTGTGAGGCAATTATTATATACATCGCAGGTTTCGTTCGATATAATTATCGATATGAATACTGTCACTGTTTCAAACAGTGATACCATGTTTTCTTCAAAAACATCTCTAACATTTATAAAGCTGCCACAGTCATCTATCATGTATATAAAATTTTTTGACTTAATAATCGCAAAATATACAGTGTGGTTTAACTACTGCCAAAAGCAATAATTACCAATAAAAAATGTATCCGACAATAGTTAAGTTTACTTTAAAGATGCATTTAGTAAGCATATTAAAATGATCCTTTATTTAATATGTTATAGTAATAGCATTCCTTGAATGTTTATTATAGTAATGTCATAATAATTAATTAACTAAATTGCTTTCTTCTGTATAATACAGCGATGTCATTATATTTTCGTAATGAATTGGTAATATACTATTGGTCACGTTTCTGCCAACAATCTGGATCTTTCTTTCTGATCATTTATAGATCATTTATTGATAGTCGTTGTCACAGCATCATATATTTTATCTGTTTTTTTTTTGTTTGCAAAACATTGTTATTCCTTTTTATTTATGATATCTTGTGTTCATTTGTTACTAGATTTGTATTTTAATTGAACAGCTTTATACAAAGCATATTAAATAAGTAGAAATCGCATTACCAATCTAACTTTTGATTAAATTTGTTATACTTTTATTTATAAGGCAGCAGTGAATAGGAGTTTCTAGTTTCCAGAAGTTTTCAAACTTAGATTAGGATCGATTCTTATTATTTATTAATACCTGTTAATAAATATTTGTCAAAAGCGGACTATTATTACAATTCTTATACACGATATATATTTTTGTTTCATTTAATTTTTTTACTTTTTTTTATTTTTTTGTTTTCTTTACTAATCTTAGTATAGTTATCATGCTTAAGAACTACGAAAAATTTTCTGCTATATATCATTAAGATTACCATTTTAGTTGAGAAAAACTGATTCAATCAAGAGTATTTTAAAATTTGCAATTTTTTTGAGTTCAATCCATACAATATACATATGAATTTATAGTTACATATATATACATATATAGTTACATATATATATATATAGTTACATATATATATATGTAGCACCAAAACACGTATCAATCTTTTCAAAGCGGTAGTTATGAAATCAGTTACCTTATGATAATATGTTCTGTAACGGATGTTGAACAACTTAAATAGATTTGCTAATATACTCGTATAATAGAAGATTTTGTGAACAGATGAAAATAAACAGTGTTATATTTTATTTTTTAAGACTCAAATTTACTTAATACTTACCTAAATAAATAAATATATATTTAATGTATATATTTATGCAAAATGTAACACAAGCTGCATATACTTAATTTTTTTTTCTGAAGAGTCTAACTGGTAAAAGATAGAATTATTTAAATCAAAACTCATTAATTTTAGACCGATTCGAATAGCAAAGAAAGGCAAAGACAAAAATTTTTTTTTATTTAATTTTATTGAAATTTGGCTGACCATACAACGCTGTTTCGAGTATTGCCAAGCACTCTTCATCAGTGGTCTTTGGAAATAATCGAATTTTATTTAATTAGTTTATAGTCCGTATATAATTTGTTGGACTGCAAGTGCCAGGCTTAGAACTCGTGCCTGTTTTCATTAATTTTATTTTAATTTTCGGATTTTTGATGACAATTTTGAAATGAAATCATCAAGTATCTACAATTTCATTCCAGTTCAACTGAAATTGCACGTACGTAACATAAGTGATTCTTAATGTTTCAATACGGCTACAATTAATAGTTTATTCAAAACTTTAACTTGGATTCTAACCTCAATATATTCATCTTCTTTTTTTTACAGTTCGCCAACGAAGGTGTGCCTCCTCTACCATTGCAAGGAAAGAATTTCCAACGCGCAAGAAATTAGAAACGGAAGTGCAATTTGAAGAAAAACAACATCAAATTAAAGAGGAGGAGTGTTATCAACTACAACACCACGACCAACATCAGCAACATAAAAGTACATAAACTAGCGTAGCAATAAAGTAGCAACAAATTCACAAATTAAGTTAAAACAACAACACAACAATACAACAACATAAAAATCTAGCAACGATATTTTTCCTTTTTTATATCTTCATTTACATATTTCTTACCGGATTTTCAATTTGTTTTGACCGCTTCAACGCGTTCTCTGCAATGGAACCAACGGGAAAAGTTAAGTGGTTTTTAACTTGGTCGCCCATTAGAACAAATAATTTCTACGCCAACAAATTCAGCAACAGCAACAACAACAACAACTACAACATCAACGTCAACGGCAGCAACATGGAAACTCATCAGCATTTAATTTTTTCCGTGCTTTTTTTACCGGTTTTATTCGGAATCTCCTCCTTAGCATATTTGCAACATAAAATCTGTTATTATCAAGAACAATTTAATCTCATCATTCCCGAGCACATCAAATGTCAACATGGCTGACACCATTAATACCGTTGTTGGTAACTTATGCCTAATATCGTAAAATGTCTTCCTCAACTGCTCCATGCCGTTCTCTCGTTCTCTCCATGCCCTACGATTTACATTTTTAGGGTTCATTTTTATATTTTACTCCGCTTTACATTTTTACTGTCCTCAGTTCCGTTTCTGTTCATCGCCGTTTATTTTATTTTTATTTGAATTGTGCATTTATTTAAAAAATTTATTCTAACAATTTTAAGTTAATTTTTTTTCTCTAAATTAAGTTGCAGGCATTTTTGTAATCAAATCAACCACAGGGTGTGTCAACTGTACGCTGCACAGTTTCATTTCACATAATATAATTTTTGCATAATGTAATCTTCTAGTTTGTAAGCGAATAAAATTTGTAAATTTGCGCAAAAACCGCAATAATTTTAATCATTTTAAATAAATTTGCTCAGTAATATTAAATTTAAACATAAAAATTACATTCCTAATTATTATTTATTTTTAATTATTATTGTTAATTATTATTGTTTTTAAATTATGGGTAATTAGGTTTTCTTATAATCAGATATCACCATGTGATGGACATTTGGACAATTGGACAATTGGAAGTGACCATGACCTATAACATGTAATATGAGGATTTTGGGATCAACTAATTTAAATTACTGTTTAATCATACAGATATTACAACTCGAACTGGAACTGGAACTGACCATAACTTCCAAAGTGTTATATGAAGATTTTGGTATGAACCAAATTAATTAAGGTTAGGTCTATTTGACTAGCTATGCGATGTGTAAACCTTTTGATTTCAAGTGAAACCAGAAACAGTTAAACTTCTATGTAGATTTTGTAGTAGGAATTTTTGCGAATCTATTGAGTGTTTTAAGCTCTATTTCTGAGGCAGAGCCAGCAGTCATCTTTAAAGACTTTTTGAACCCTGACTTTGTATATCGTAGTTAGAGCAAACACCCGCCATGCTCTTAAGGCAACTGATGTTCCCCATCAAGTTGCTACAGTTTTCTAGAGTGTAAAAATAGTATCGAATCTGAAAATTTACTGTAATTTAAACTTAATAGGTTTAAAAATACGATGATTCTTGGATATGCATATAAAAGCTAAAACCTTTTAAAATTAACCTCTCACTTAACCGCATATTATATGGATTTAGTTTACAGAATGCTTCAATGTAATGACTGAAAGAAAAAATAGATTTCACCAATAATTATCGATAAGTTGATTTTTTTTTAAAGACTTCAGTACACTAATCGAATATAATATAAGATTCATATTGTACTATGACGCTTAGCTGTTTTAGCTGCTTACTTCTAATTTAACTAAGGCTCAACAGGTGACAGTTCAAAGGTAGGCTTCATTCCAAAGGACCAGTAGAAATAGTTTTAGCTTAATCTATAAGTTTGACCTATTCATTTGATTTTATATTTTGATTAAAGATTTTGGAAAATTAATTCTAGCTTATGTTAGATGTCTGTCGACCTTTGATTTTTAATTAAATACCTTGCGATTTTGTCTGCTTACCACTAAATCAACTAAGTCTTAATTGGAGATAGATTGGAGTATCTTTCATTTAGTGGACAGTCAGAAATAGTAATAATAGTTACATAATAATATTATAATAGAAATATCAGTCTGATTTCATTTTTACTTAACGGCTTAAACCACTTAAAGCTAAAGTCTAATTGTAATTTATGCCAGATTTCTATGGAGCATTGATATTCAACTGGGATTCCAATTTTCTGTGTTTAGAAGACAAGTAGAAAGAGCACCACCTCAAAATAAATTTTCGAGATATTTGATTTATTCGAATTTATGGCAGATCCTTGTCGTGCGCTGATATTTGACTAGAAGAAAAGTTTAACTGCCCTACACAAAGTATTTATTAATGTGAAAAAATACCGAGGATGTGAAAATGTAATGGTAGCATTTTTAGACATGGAAGAAGCTTTAAGCAATATGAGAGTTGTTATTACTTAGGCTATCGGTTGGGAAATTCTAAGCAAAACTTTACCTGAAATTACCTGAAACATAATATGTTCCCAAGAGTATTTCACTGTTAAATGACCTATGGAATCCGTTGCTCTAAGTTCTAAATTAAAGTTTTCGCTCTAAGCGGAATCGTAACATATAAAATTCAGATAGTCTTTAAGGGCTTGAAATAATCAAAGCAACAAATTTTTGGAATCTTGATCAGTATTGTAACAGAAAACAATTTGAGGTGGGAAAAAAAACTAACGATTTGGAATTATAATTTTTTAATATTTTGTTACACACATACATATCACTTATTACAAAATAAAATAAAATGAAATTATATACCTTGATTATGCTGTGGTGACCTATTGGTATAAAGCTTGTCGTGAATATTGATGCAATAATAAAATTTTTATTCAAATTTCTAGGACCAAATGAACGTTAATGATGAACTTTTTCTAAACACAATTGCAAGGGGAAATGTTAAGATTTGATTTTTTGTGTTATGGATTTAACTAGTTTTTATTTCATCGTAAGCATATATATTTTGCTTACTATGAATCTGGAATTTACAATTTGGAAAACCCGTGTGAAGTACTGCAATTACTTTTTTTCTGTATGTTGGTAGAACTTTACTATATACTAGATTTATACTAGATTTGTGTGCGATCTGTTGCTCAGTGTAATTATATCTGCTAATTGTACAGTTATTTTTTGAGTGTTCTCCGACTGTAAAATTATCGCTTTGTTTTCGTTGACTATTTGAGTATAAAAACTATATAGAGATATAGAGCAACTTTTCAAGAGCTGTTATTATTCAATTACATTCCATAAGGCTTTTTAAATAGACCAGACAATAAATTTTAATTGATTCGTTTTTTCTTTTTTTTTGGTTAATAAATAATTGCGAATACATTGTATACTAATTGCGTTGTATTAAATTGATTTATATATTCTATCATATATAAAATTGTTGATTTCATTAGATTAAGTATAAAACATCCTTTATTAGGAAATTTTCATATGTTAAAATTCACTAAGTAACCCAGTTTCTATATTTAACTTTACGCTAGGCCGGCATATGTTTGAATGATAATTTCTTTGGCAATATGCAAAAGATTTTGCGGGAATTAAAGTCCTTTGGACTTATAGTAACTCAGAAATTAAATTAGTTTTACTTTGTACACAATAGCGCATTTCAGTGCTCTTTGTCAACATATTTCTTCGCACAATTTAACATCCGCCACATCGACAACATTAAGATAGCGACCAAAATGGCTCAAACCAGCGATGGCAGCAGTAACAACAACGCCAGCAATAGTAATAACCACGATGAACATCATCCATGATGCAAGTCATTTAATTTCTATACATTTTTCTACTCAAGCAACTTTATCTTTCCGCCTTTCTGTTTCTAAATTCGTTCCATTCGCGTTTTTGTGTGTGAGTGTGTGTGTGTGTGTGTGTGTGGGAGGATTTGGTTGAGGATAATTAAATATATATAATGAAGAAAAATAGCAGGACTCGGATAAGTAAACAATCGAAACACCAGCAACAACTATGCGAGTGTACGGCCAAGAATCAAATTGGTCACATCCGCTGATGCAAAACGTTTTGTTTATATTTAGCTTTTCAGAAAGAGTGGGAGTGCGCAATATGATGAATCCTGCTCAGTTGCAGGATATACCAACTTCATGCGTCACAAGTTCAGAGCAATCAAGTGGAACAATGCGACAACTCGCGGTAATTTGTATTAATTGAGAACTAATTACTTTTTTGTTGTTTAATAGCAATTGGTTCCAGAAATCTCTTAGGCGATGACGCATGATATGTTCCAGTTTTGTTCTGTGGCTGATGTCAGAGATGATTGATTTCTTCTTTTTGATTATTTTTACTGTGGTAGCAAATGGTCTAATTAGTATGTTAATTAAAAACTTTTATAGAGATTCGTTTTTCTAGATTCCATTAAAAAGTGTAAACCGTAAACCACCACACCCAATTGGTCAGAAACCTTAAGGAGTATATACTAAATTACACGTAATTAGCCTAGGTTGTGTTTAGAGGCGCTATAAAAGTAGAAGTACAAGTACAGCATATTTTTCGAATGAGAGAGTAAAAGGGTGCCCAAATTTTTAAATTTATATTAAGTTGTTGGAGAAATTCACTCAATTTCATGCATGATATTTATAAGAGCGGACTTAGCTATTAAAAAACATAAGTATCAATATCAAAACAAATACTTCTAAAAAAAAAAAATAAAGTATCTACCAGAAACATAAAAAAATGGAAAGTTTTAGGAATGCCTTCTTGCCAAGCTAAGCATCCAAAACTAAATCTGTCATGTTAATATTAGATAATATGCAGAATTCTTCATTAAGAAACATTATAACTAAAAGCATATTTAAATCTGGGAACTCTTTAACATTGTTAAAATTTTAAAAATTTTTTTTTGGGGAATATGCCAAACAGATTTGGGTATATAAAAAACGTATTTTGGAATTCTGACTTTATAAATATTTCGTAAAAGAATATAAAGCTCTACGTAAATTCCTTCCAAAAAGGATTAAGTTGTTATTTTGTGTCCTAATACCATATTCTGCCACATGCTGCCGCTATTTGATCAGCTAATAGTTTGTATCATCTATTTTAAGGTATGTATGTACATGGAAAGGAACTTTTTAGCTCTGTTGAAAACCGCATCAGTCTGCTAAAGAAATTGTTATAGGGAAAAAATGAATCATCAATACGAAATGTGTATACTTTTAAAGTTTTAGATTAAAGAGTGATTAAAAATGTTGTGGAGCAAAAAAGGTGTAAAAAATCGTTAAGTAAGATTTCAGACTCTGTTTATTGGTGTCGACTCTGCTGGTAAGCGAAATTAAACGAAAT